GTATATGAGTGCATGCACGAATGAGTGCCTGACTGCCTGCCAGTGTGTATGGTGGGTTATACCTGAAATGTTATATCTAGAGTTATATATCATCTACAAGCTCGGTTTGTGTACATTGATTGTGGCTGTATCGTCTGTCAGATGGGTGTAACCTTATATCCAGTAAGATTGTTGCAGAACTACTGGAAAACTACTTAGTGAACGACGAGAAACAATCCAATAATAAGACAAAATTCTGGAAAAACATGACAAATATGCAGACCATATCTTTGAAATGGCTCGTTTGCATCCCAAGCCCCAGGTTGTCGGACTCCCCGATGCCCCTGGTTTTAGTACCTCCTGATCCTCGGCGAGTGGACGGGTTCCTCACCCACTCGGTGGGTAATGCAGAAGGCTGCCGTGTTTGGGAGCCTACAGAAGGGCAAGGGCACCTGAGCTGATGATGAGCCATATCAGGACCACCCGACTTCTCCCTGTTGCATCAGACTTCTCCTGCTGCATCACCCCTATAGTCATACACCCGACTTCTCCTGCTGCATCACCCCTATAGTCATACACCCGACTTCTCCCTGCTGCATCACCCCTATAGTCATACACCCGACTTCTCCTGCTACATCACCCCTATAGTCAGCACACCCGACTTCTCCCTGCTGCATCACCCCTATAGTCATACACCTGACTTCTCCCTGCTGCATCACCCCTTTAGTCATACAACCCGACTTCTCCCTGTTGCATCACCCTATAGTCATACACCCGACTTCTCCCTGCTGCATCACCCCTATAGTCATACACCCGACTTCTCCTGCTGCATCACCCTTTAGTCATACACCATTGTGGAGAGCGTTGTCAGGCTGAATCTTTATGCCGAGAACTAGATGCTAAAATATATATAGATCTAAAACTCAGTGAACGTTGACTAAAAGTGCCTGTGGCCGGATTATTGAGGCTTTGTATTGAATTTCCTATTGCATGTTGATCAGGCTGCAAAATACCACGGCATAACCTTGGCACAGCACCAGCCAATTAGACCATATGTAGCTGTCATGGCTGAAGAGATAGAATAATTTGGACAGGCCGAGCAGGGCAGAAATGAAACACATACGTACGTAAAATATGTCTTCGAACATAATAATGCATTATAAATATAGCTGCCATACACTATACGCGACTGTACACCACGCACAACGCACTATAAACTGTTCATTAAACACTTGACGTTATACACTATACACTACACACTGTACATTGTACACTAGACTTTATACACTATACACTGTACATTGTACATTAGACGTTATACACTATACACTGTACATTGTACATTGTACACTAGACGTTATACACTATACACTGTACATTGTACATTGTTGTACACTATACGTTATACTATACACTGTACATTGTACACTAGACGTTATATACACTATACACTGTACATTGTACACTAGACGTTATACACTATACACTACACACTGTACATTGCACACTAGACGTTATACACTATACACTACACACTGTAAATTGTGCACTAGACGTTATACACTATACACTACATACACTTTACATTGTAAACTAGACGTTATAAACTATATACACTTTACAGTTTACAATAGGCGTTATGCACTATACACTACACACTGTACATTGCACACTAGACGTTATACACTATACACTACACACTGTACTTTGTACACTAGACGTTACACACTTTACACTATATACACTTTACATTGTGCACTAGACGTTATACACTATACGCGCACTACACACCGTACATTGTACACTAGACGTTACACACTATACACTACACACTGTACATTGTACACTAGACGTTAGACGTTATACACTATACACTACACACTGTACTTTGTACACTAGACGTTATACACTTAACACTACACACTGTACTTTGTACACTAGACGTTATACACTATACACTACACACACTGTACATTGTACACTAGACGTTACACACTATACACTACACACTGTACATTGTACACTAGACGTTATACACTATACACTATACACTGTACATTGTACACCAGACGTTATACACTATACTACGCATTGTACACTAGACGTTATACACTAGACGTTATACACTTTATTGTACACTAGACGTTATACACTACACACTTTACATTGTACACTAGACGTATACAACACTATACACTACACACTGTACATTGTACACTAGACGTTATACACTATACACTACACACTGTACATTGTACACTAGACGTTATACACTATACACTACACACTGTACATTGTACACTAGACGTTATACGCCATACACTACACACTACACATTGTACACTAGACGTTATACACTATGCACTACACACTGTACATTGTACACTAGACGTTATACACTACACACTGTACATTGTACACTAGACGTTATACACTATACACTACGCATTGTACACTAGACGTTATACACTATCCACTACAAACTTTACATTGTACACTAGACGTTATACACTACACACTTTACATTGTACACTAGACGTTATACACTATACACTACACACTGTACATTGTTCACTAGACGTTATACACTATACACACTGTACATTGTGCACTAGACGTTATACACTATACACTATATACACTGTACATTGTGCACTATACGTTATACACTATACACTATATACACTTTACATTGTGCACTAGACGTTATGCACTATACACCACACACTGTGCATTGTACACGTTCCACCGGTAACACCCGTCATCAACATATGCAATCGAATATTCCCTCCGCATGTCTACCATAAAACAGTTTGAATTATTTACATACTGAGGTCTTGATTGTTGTGACAATGATAGAACAACTTCTGAGCAAGATGCTGTTTGATATCAAGCTCGATTGTATCTCAAGAGTGGTGAAATGTAACCAATAAAGGCGGGAGCTGTTGGAATATTGCTCGACATGAAAGACTATTGTAATGATGAAGTCACCCCTTTAGTCATACACCATTGTGGAGAGCGTTGTCACGCTGAATCTTTATGCCGAGGACTAGATGCTAAAACATATATAGATCTAACAACTCAGTGAACGTTGACTAATAGTGCGTGTCATGATTATAGAGGCCTTTTATTGAGTTTCCCATTGCATGTTGACAAGGCTGTCAAATTACCCTGGTATAATCTTGGCACAGCTCCAGCGATTAAACCTTGTTGCCGTCATGGCTGAAGATAGAATAATTTGGACAAGCCGAGCAGGGCAGGAAGTAAAACACATAGGGACGTAAAATCTATTTTCCACGCATGATTCATAGAGTACCATTACTATAAGTAAAGCTGTCGCTATATATAGGCATTGTTAAGGTGGAATGTTTTCAATATTTATGTCGACTTATAATTCTCTTTTCTATAGCATACCTGTAACCGAGGAGGGTGTATTTTCTAAACCAAATAAAAGTGTAGTAAGTGAGAACAGGTCGATCCAGTTTGTGGGTTGGTTACTTGGTTAGTTTCAGTTTGTTTACAGAAGATAACGTAGATTGTTGGCACCAAGCCATGGTCGGAAAAACGTTAGATTGTGGTGTAGCGGACTGGATTGTCGCGGTCTTTACAATCCGATCATTTACAATCCGTTGTCACGAGCTCTTGGAAATCAATACAATATGTGTTTATATGTGTATTATCTACCAGCGGTTCAGGCAAGCTCCAGCTGTGGGACGTCCTATCATATACAGGTGTTTGTTATGAAGTGTGTGTGTGTCAGTTAAGTATCAACTGACAGGTAGTAATGAAGACCTTGCATCAACAGTTTCATACAATACGGTATTAGATCATTCCTTTACATAATATAACCACAGTATTAGATCATTCCTTTACATAATATAACCACAGTATTAGATCATTCCTTTACATAATATAACCACAGTATTAGATCATTCCTTTACATAATATAACCACAGTATTAGATCATTCCTTTACATAATATAACCACAGTATTAGATCATTCCTTTACATAATATAACCACAGTATTAGATCATTCCTTTACATTTACATAATATAACCACAGTATTAGATCATTCCTTTACATAATATAACCACAGTATTAGATCATTCCTTTACATAATATAACCACAGTATTAGATCATTCCTTTACATAATATAACCACAGTATTAGATCATTCCTTTACATAATAGAACCACAGTATTAGATCATTCCTTTACATAATATAACCACAGTATTAGATCATTCCTTTACATAATATAACCACAGTATTAGATCATTCCTTTACATAATATAACCACAGTATTAGATCATTCCTTTACATAATATAACCACAGTATTAGATCATTCCTTTACATAATATAACCACAGTATTAGATCATTCCTTTACATAATATAACCACAGTATTAGATCATTCCTTTACATAATAGAACCACAGTATTAGATCATTCCTTTACATAATATAACCACAGTATTAGATCATTCCTTTACATAATATAACCACAGTATTAGATCATTCCTTTACATAATATAACCACAGTATTAGATCATTCCTTTACATAATATAACCACAGTATTAGATCATAATATAACCACAGTATTAGATCATTCCTTTACATAATATAACCACAGTATTAGATCATTCCTTTACATAATATAACCACAGTATTAGATCATTCCTTTACATAATATAACCACAGTATTAGATCATTCCTTTACATAATATAACCACAGTATTAGATCATTCCTTTACATAATATAACCACAGTATTAGATCTTTTCCTTTACATAATATAACCACAGTATTAGATCATTCCTTTACATAATATAACCACAGTATTAGATCATTCCTTTACATAATATAACCACAGTATTAGATCATTCCTTTACATAATATAACCACAGTATTAGATCATTCCTTTACATAATATAACCACAGTATTAGATCACTCCTTTACATAATATAACCACAGTATTAGATCATTCCTTTACATAATAGAACCACAGTATTAGATCATTCCTTTACATAATATAACCACAACTTTATTCACATATGAAATCTATTTCTCCATACAAAGGAAATATATTGTAAATTAATCATATGTTTGCAGTGCCCTTCCAGGAACTCCACAGTCACTCAGAACGTAAAGTGAGTTTCTCTGTCAGAAAACCAAATTCAGCAGGCAGCGAGTATAAAACGAATGTGGCACAATCTGAAACGCGCATGTGCGCGCGCACACGAATAATCATAAAGTATAATGATAACACGAGATTTAACGGGTGAGTACGTCCCCTCGGTAACTGGAGAAACAGGTTAGTTTACAGTTGGCTCGAGATGTTCAGGAAATAGTATTTGTTTCTCAAGTGATAGGTTATTGGCGACTCCTCCAGAGGTGTCAAGTCTCCAAGCATATATACGGTATATGTTTAACTGTCTCAAGCTGAATACAAGCGACAAAACCATTTCCATATTGTCAAGAACCATCTCTAGTCTCAGTTCCAAGCTTTTCTTCTGTGGATGGGTTTCTTGACACCATAGACACCGGTTCCAGCTGTCTGAGCACGACCATTACTCACCTGACTTTCCTCACGGATGGTCTTCAGTTGATTCTCAAGATTTTCCTTCAACTCCTTTTCAATTTGCTGTCGATCTTCTCTTCTTTCCCTCTCCTGCCTTTTCCTATCTTCCTCCATCTTCCTCTCCAGTTGATGCATGTCTTCTTGCCTCCTCCGCTCAATGTCCGCAATGTCTCGTGCATGCTTCTCCCGGTCCTTATCCCTGTGCCTCCTATACCGTGCTTCTGCCGTTCTGCGTTCTTGTATTTCCTCCTGAACCACGGCCTCCAAGTTGGTTATGTCCCCTTGCTGCTGTTCTATGGTAGTTTTAAGAGATCTGTTTTCTTCTTCCAGAACGGAAACCTTTGTCTGAAGGTCAGAAATTTGACATCGAGCAATTTCAAGCAGTTCGTCTTTTTTCCGAACTTGTTCTTTCAGTGACTGAATTGTGCCCAGATTGTCATCATTCATGAGAGACATCTCCTTGATGTTGCTCAACGTCGCTGTTATATCCGCCATAGACGCCAATATTTCCTTCCGAAAGGTTTGTAATTCCTCCTTGGTAGCCAAGTCCAGCCTCAAACCCTCGACCTCTTCCTTCGTTGCATAGAGATTCTTTGACTCGGACATTTCGTCAATCCTATGCGTCTGTCTATCCAAGGCTGCCATGATTGTCTCCATACGCTTGCTCAGATCAGTGAACTCTCTAGAAAGCTGTGTTTCGGTTTGTCTTCTGTGTAGTGCCGAGGTCAGACTGTTGGACTCCTTGGTGGCTCGTAGTTTCCGCACTAGACCCTTGTACCCCATAGTGTCGAGAGCATACAAGAAGACTTGAAAGGAATTGGTGCCTCTGAACATGAGGATATCCAGGAACCTCTTGGTTCTGTCAGCCCGGGTTGTTCCCGACTCAATGTGTTGCATGTCCTTCAGGTCAATGACGTTCTTGGAGAAGAGAGTCCCAGTGATGTCCTTGGCGTCCAGCTCCACCTCTATGTCCATTATGTGTGTCTGGATGCACTTCTCATCTTCAGCAAGCATCTTCCCCCGCTCTGCAGCCATGGTATCTCAGTTTGCCTTATTAATGAAAATGATACATGTTTGATATTATTTATACACCAATAAATACGAGAAGGAAAGTAAATAACACACTCCTAACATATACTCTCCAAAAGGTAGGGGATAACCGCAATAACATATTTTCCAAACTTCTAAGAAATATAGGTTTCTAGAAATAGTTGTATAATAATAATGAACGAAGTTGATACACATACATGTGATGACGAGTTGCCTATCGATGACAACTGGTTTTGTTGTGTGACAGTAGATGTAAACTCCGACGACGATCCTGAAGTAAGAAAGGAGTAAAATGGGAAATTTGGATTTTTTGGATCAAAAGTGACTTAAACAATTTGTCCAATATTCATAAATTCATAAACGATGCATATATCCACTGATGATTTGAGGGAGTCTGTCTCACTCCTGGCAAAGTTCGGGGGCAAGGAAATAATGCCCCAATTTCATAAATTATAAAGACTCCTGGAGCCTCCGCAGTGAAGAACTATTTCTTTTAGGTAAACTGGACTTGTGTGTTTCTCATTATAATGAAATAGAGAACATTTTCTTCTTCTACGTTCTGACAGTGTTCAAAACCTGCCTCGTAATTAAGTGAACTGAAAGGAGAAAAACTTGGGAAGCAATGCAATAATTTTTTCAGCTTCAATCTGGAGTCTTTCCGATTGTAAACTAAGTTCTTTTTCAAAATGGTGCTTTAGGAAACCGTCTCAACTTTTGTGAAGGGTTTTAAGTTTTCTCATTGAGTAGAACACTTTCGAGATTTTGGATACAATATCAGATACATGTTATGGCGATTTGCTGTTCGATGAAAGTATAAATGTTTATGAGACTTTCAGATGCCTTGTCTAATGATGTGTCATCACCAGATAGTCCGGTCATGTAATCGAGATCATCAGCAAAATCATATACGTAAACATGGAATAAAAATGGCACCAAAACTCGTCCGTGAGGGACGCCAGCTCTGAGTAACCTTGATTTAAACAGTGCCTACCTTCAATACCATTCATTTCCATCATATATCAAAAAACATATTGGAGCGGGAGACATGATGGGGCGGAGAACATGATGAGGCGGGGGACATGATGGGGCGGGGGGAGAACATGATGGGGCGGGGGACATGATGGGGCGGAGAACCTGGCGGGTTCAGGCTACTGGGGTACATAATAGTGAGTGAGTGAGTTTAGTTTAACGCCGCTTTGGCAATATTTCATCAATATCACGACAGGGGACACCAGAAATGGGCTTCACACATTATACCAATGTGGGGAATCGAACCCGGATCTTCGGCGCGACTAGCGAACGCTTTAACCACTAGGCTACCCCACCGCCCCGTGTACATAATAGGACGAGAAGGAAAATAACTGGTCAGAGAACACTATGACAATTCCTGTATTCAAATGTTTCTACAATACAATGTTTCACAGAACGTACGATCAATAGTCGTAGACAGAGGCGGAGGTGGCCTAAAATCAGTGTTTTCGAGCATTTGAATATACAGTAGAACTTTACCTGTCTTGAATTTGTTCTCGTCCCACCCTGTCAAGTGCACAGCTGAAGAGAGAAGATCTGTATGTCAGTACACAGCTGAAGAGAGAGAAGATCTGTATGTCAGTACATAGCTGCCGGGATATGCTATATTGATCTTTGAATAAGGCTCAGGGTATAGATTACCAGTGAAACATCACACGCTCCGTGGGGCGATATTAAGTTCATATCAGGATATCATGTCACCTGTCTTTTGTTTTAGTGACCTGTTTTCAGACAGTATATGAGTGCATGCACGAATGAGTGCCTGACTGCCTGCCAGTGTGTATGGTGGGTTATACCTGAAATGTTATATCTAGAGTTATATATCATCTACAAGCTCGGTTTGTGTACATTGATTGTGGCTGTATCGTCTGTCAGATGGGCGTAACCTTATATCCAGTAAGATTGTTGCAGAACTACTGGAAAACTACTTAGTGAACGACGAGAAACAATCCAATAATAAGACAAAATTCAGGAAAAACATGGCAAATATGCAGACCATATCTTTGAAATGGCTCGTTTGCATCCCAAGCCCCAGGTTGTCGGACTCCCCGATGCCCCTGGTTTTAGTACCTCCTGATCCTCGGCGAGTGGCCGGGTTCCTCACCCACTCGGTGACACTCGGGTAATGCAGAAGGCTGCCGTGTTTGGGAGCCTACAGAAGGGGCCAGGACACCTGAGCTGATGATGAGCCATATCAGGACCACCCGACTTCTCCCTGCTGCATCACCCCTTTAGTCATACACCCTTGTGGAGAGCGTTGTCAGGCTGAATCTTTATGCCGAGAACTAAATGCTAAAATATATATAGATCTATAAACTCAGTGAACGTTGACTAAAAGTGCCTGTGGCCGGATTACTGAGGCTTTGTATTGAGTTTCCCATCGCATGTTGATCAGGCTGCAAAATACCACGGCATAACCTTGGCACAGCACCAGCAATTAGACCATATGTAGCTGTCAGGGCTGAAGATAATTGGAATAATGTGGACAGGCCGAGCAGTGCAGAAATGAAACACATACGGACGTAAAATATGTCTTCGAACATAATAATGCATTATAAATATGGCTGCCATACACTATACGCGACTGTACACCACGCACAACGCACTATCAATTGTACTTTAAACACTTGACGTTATACACTATACACTACACACTGTACATTGTACACTAGACTTTATACACTATACACTGTACATTGTACATTAGACGTTATACACTATACACTGTACATTGTACATTGTACACTAGACGTTATACACTATACACTGTACATTGTACACTAGACGTTATATACTATGCACTGTACATTGTACACTAGACGTAATACACTATACACTACGCACTGTACATTGCACACTAGACGTTATACACTATACACTACACACTGTACATTGCACACTAGACGTTATACACAATACACTACACACTGTAAATTGTGCACTAGACGTTATACACTATACACTATATACACTTTACATTGTAAACTAGACGTTATAAACTATATACACTTTACAGTTAACAATAGACGTTATACACAATACACTACACACTGTAAATTGTACACTAGACGTTATACACTTTACACTATATACACTTTACATTGTGCACTAGACGTTATACACTATACGCTACACACTGTACATTGTACACTAGACGTTATACACTACACACTGTACTTTGTACACTAGACGTTATACACTTTACACTATATACACTTTACATTGTGCACTAGACGTTATACACTATACACTACACACTGTACATTGTACACTAGACGTTATACACTATACACTACACACTGTACATTGTACACTACACACTGTACATTGTACACTAGACCTTATACACTATACACTACACACTGTACATTGAACACTAGACGTTACACACTATACACTACACACTGTACATTGTACACTAGACGTTATACACTACACACTGTACATTGTACACTAGACGTTATACACTACACACTGTACATTGTGCACTAGACGTTATACACTATGCACTGTACATTGTACACTAGACGTTATACACTATACACTACACACTGTACATTGTACACTAGGCGTTATAACTACATACACTTTACAGTTTACACTAGTCGTTATACACTATACACTACACAATAGACGTTATACACTATACACTACACACTGTACTTTGTACACTAGACCTTATACACTATACACTAGACGCTTTACATTGTACACTAGACGTTATACACTATACACTACGCACTGTACATTGTACACTAGACGTTATACACTATACACTTTACATTGTACACTAGACGTTATGCACTACGCACTGTACACTAGACGTTATACGCTATACACGACGCACTGTACACTAGACGTTATACGCTATACACGACGCACTGTACACTAGACGTTATACACTACGCACTGTACACTAGACGTTATACACTACACACTGTACACTTTACATTGTACACTAGACGTTATACACTACACACTGTACATTGTACACTAGACGTTATACACTATGCACTACACACTGTACATTGTACACTAGACGTTATACACTACACACTGTACTTTGTACACTAGACGTTATACACTTAACACTACACACTGTACTTTGTACACTAGACGTTATACACTATACACTACACACTGTACATTGTACACTAGACGTTATACACTATACACTGTACATTGTACACTAGACGTTATACACTACACACTGTACATTGTACACTAGACGTTATACACTACACACTGTACTTTGTACACTAGACGTTATACACTATACACTACACACTGTACATTGTACACTAGACGTTATACACTATACACTACACACTGTACATTGTACACTAGACGTTATACACTACACACTGTACATTGTACACTAGACGTTATACACTACACACTGTACATTGTACACTAGACGTTATGCACTACGCACTGTACACTAGACGTTATACACTATGCACTACACACTGTACATTGTACACTAGACGTTATACACTACACACTGTACATTGTACACTAGACGTTATACACTATACACTTTACATTGTACACTAGACGTTATGCACTACGCACTACACACTGTACATTGTACACTAGACGTTATACACTACACACTGTACTTTGTACACTAGACGTTATACACTATACACTACGCACTGTACACTAGACGTTATGCAGTACGCACCGTACAGTTTACATTGTACACTGGACCTTATACATCTCGACGACGACGTTGTGTTAATCTACGACCGTCATTCACCACGTTGTGTGAATCTACGACCGTCACTAACCACGTTGTGTGAACTTGCGAACGTCATTATCCCTGTTGTGTTAATCTACGACCGTCATTATCCATGCAAACAAACAACCCTATCACATGCTATGTCTATGTCTTTCTGCGTTTGTTTGAATAACTTTAAATTAGCATGGAACCGCTTGGCGGGCATGAACACCAGGGATAATAATAATAATAATAATAATGTGTCCATTTATATAGCGCCAAACTCCACACTAGGTTATGGTAATGTCCCAGTTGTCTGGCTGACTGGCTTCCAACCCGTGCACAGATTAACTGGTATGGATCCCGTCATAGCTGTCCATCAACTCACTATGTTACGGATATACTAATAATGGCTGTGACGTCACAGGGATGCTGCTCACTGACAAGCTGATCACGTGATCAAACCTACGTACAATTTCAGGTCAATGGTCTCACGGCTGTACTGACAAAATGTGAGTGAGTGAGTGAGTGACCAGCCATGTGTTCGTGCGGTCAGTCCACTCCTACTAAAAGCATGAGAAACACAGGACATGATAATGTAATGTAAAGGAACCAGACAAGCGTCCAGCCTTGCCGATATCCGAGGTCTTCCTTCCAGAACTGAGGCGTAATTTATCACACGTATAAACCATTACTATGCCAAATCAAGTTTAGCGCAAAACAATGTCTTCATCACATCCGCCACTGTAGGGCATTTTGTGGTATATTGAACCAGGATCAAAAATTGTCACGTGACCAGCACGATCGCTGCACTCACAGGAGAAGGCCTCTTCCGGCATAAGTGTGGGATGAGAGGGCGATTCTGACAATGAGCTATAAATTATTATCAGAGTCCAACACTACAGACACAAATGGCAAACAGTGAAAGGTGACACTGAAAGAAGAAGAGGCAAACAGCCCTATAGTTTGTTTTCATGCTCAATAAGGACATCCCAGCGAGGCAGTGAGGGTGTATCAAGGAGCTTCTGGTGATTAAGAGGCCTGTGTATCGGATCTATTGTGTGTGGAGAGGACCAAACGGATTATATAAATATGACTACAATGATGTCTTGGTTCAGTACCTTGAACATGGTGCTGCTCATGGATCTGACTGATGGTAAGTATCACCACCTTCTTCTCTCACAGACATTGTCGGCGGACCATGGATCTGACCTACTTCTCTCACAGACATTGTCGGCGGACCATGGATCTGACTGATGGTAAGTATCACCACCTTCTTCTCTCACAGACATTGTCGGCGGACCATGGATCTGACTGATGGTAAGTATCACCACCTACTTCTCTCACAGACATTGTCGGCACACCATGGATCTGACAGATGGTAAGTATCACCACCTTCTTCTCTAACAGACATTGTCGGCAGACCATGGATCTGACTGATGGTAAGTATCACCACCTACTTCTCTCACAGACAATGTCGGCACACCATGGATCTGACAGATGGTAAGTGTCACCACCTTCTTCTCTCACAGACATTGTCGGCGGACCATGGATCTGACTGATGGTAAGTATCACCACCTACTTCTCTCACAGACATTGTCGGCACACCATGGATCTGACTGATGGTAAGTATCACCACCTACTTCTCTCACAGACATTGTCGGCGGACCATGGTTCTGACTGATGGTAAGTATCACCACCTACTTCTCTCACAGACATTGTCGGCAGACCATGGATCTGACTGATGGTAAGTATCACCACCTACTTCTCTCACAGACATTGTCGGCACACCATGGATCTGACTGATGGTAAGTATCACCACCTACTTCTCTCACAGACATTGTCGGCGGACCATGGATCTGACTGATGGTAGTATCACCACCTACTTCTCTCACAGACATTGTCGGCGGACCATGGATCTGACTGATGGTAAGTATCACCACCTACTTCTCTCACAGACATTGTCGGCGGCTCATCTATGACATGTTAGACATGAAACTAACCTTAAATGTGATCGTAAGGCTGTGGTTAGAGGCATGTCATTCCATCTGTGGGTCACAGTAGACACAGATTCACGAAACACGAAGCAGGACATTATTAACCTCTTGCTTCCGAGTGCTGGACACAGTGTTGATTGGAGGCAAGGAACGCGGGATTGGGATCATTAAAGTGTGTGTTAGTACCTCTGTGTGTGTGTGTGAGAGAGAGAGAGAGAGAGAGAGAGAGAGAGAGAGAGAGTGTGTGTGTGTGTGTGTGTGTGTGTGTGTGTGTGTGTGTGTGTGTGTGTGTGTGTGTGTGTGTGTGTGTGTGTGTGTGTGTGTGTGTGTGTGTGTGTGTGTGTGTGTGTGTGTGTGTGTATTTTGATCCGCTTTAGAATCCCTCTTCAGACTCCAATGCTTATAAGCTTATAAGAGGCGACTAACAGGACCGGTTGGTCAGATTCGCTGACATGGTTGACACATGCAATCGTATCCGAATTGCGTTGATCGATGTTCATGCTGTTGATCACTGGGCTATCACGATTATTTACAGACCGCAGTCAAATAGCTTGATCATTCCTGAGAGCGGCGTTAAACAACTAACAAATCCAATCTGTTTGCTGACCTAGTTTTGTCCTGTCAGTTGCAGCTGGTGTCATCCTACAGACGGAGAAGATGGTCGTGCAGGGCGTTGCGTCCTACATGAGAGCGTCGTGCGACTGTCCCGCGACACACATAGTGCTGGTTCGGCCTGACACCAAGACAGTAGTTTTTGTAGCACAACAGTCGACTGCCAGAGTAATTGTGAAGGTTATTTGAGTGACCCGCTGTTTAGTAATGAAACAACTCTGAGTGTTGTCATTGTCAAGTTTCAAGCTGTTGATGTGGGAACATGGAAGCTGCGATGTTGTGGCAAAGAAGTGATGTCAACAATAACAGATGGAGCAGGTGAGAAGACATGTGTGAGTGGGAGGGGTGGGGAGTGATGTCAACAATAACAGATTGAGCAGGTGAGAAGACGGTGGAGTGGGAGGGGAGGGGTGGGGAGTGATGTCAACAATAACAGATGGAACAGGTGAGAAGACGTGTGTGAGTGGGAGAGGAGGGGTAGGGAGTGATGTCAACAATAACAGATGGAGCAGGTGAGAAGACATGTGTGAGTGGGAGGGAGGGGTGGGCAGTGATGTCAACAATAACAGATGGAACAGGTGAGAAGACACGTGTGAGTGGGAGGGAGGGGTGGGGAGTGATGTCAACAATAACAGATGGAACAGGTGAGACGACATGTGTGAGTGGGAGGGGAGGGATGGGGAGTGATGTCAACAATAACAGATGGAACAGGTGAGAAGACATGTGTGAGTGGGAGGGAGGGGTGGGGGGTGGGAGTGATGTCAACAATAACAGATGGAACAGGTGAGAAGACATGTGTGAGTGGGAGGGAGGGGTGGGGGTGAAATGATGTCAACAATAACAGATGGAACAGGTGAGAAGACATGTGTGAGTGGGAGGGAGGGTGGGGGTGAAATGATGTCAACAATAACAGATGGAACAGGTGAGAAGACACGTGTGAGTGGGAGGGGAGGGGTGGGGGTGAAGTGATGTCAACAATAACAGATGGAACAGGTGAGAAGACATGTGTGAGTGGTAGGGGAGGGGTGGGCAGTGATGTCAACAATAACAGATGGAACAGGTGAGAAGACATGTGTGAGTGGGAGGGGAGGGATGGGGGGTGAAGTGATACTGAGTTGACATCGGTTTAGTAGGGATGACATTGGTTGTGTTGCGTTCAGTTGAAATGAGTGGGAATGAGATAAATGATATCGGTTGTGTGAGTGAGTGAGTGACTAGTGACCTTTGTAATATGCAGCATCATTCTTCATATTTTCAGAAACTATATCAAGACGTCCAACCATCCTGCGCGACCCCGTACCGCCAACAGAACATCTCGGGGGGCGAGCAGATGGGGCCGCACGATCACACACGACAAATCGACTGTTCGCAAAAGCTACACGTTTCCCCACCACCGACAGGACACCTCGGAGGACAGGTTCTGTCCCTCATCCAGCATCCAGCACTGGAAATACACTTCCCAATTCTAACATCGTCCTCAACATGTCACTGATAATGACATCCATCTTTTTACTGATGTTTGTAAATGTTTTTTAATCTTGACCCAATCAATACATAGTTGCACAGTGTATATGGTCTCTGCTCTGAAGCATGAGCGTGTCGGCCAGTGCAGCAGCCGAGAGATGACCTAATGGGACTAGTGAATGGACACACAAACAGCTGTTTCCAGGGACACTCAAGGTACCCGGATGTAAACTATTGACCTTTGTCACGCTCACGAGCCAGATCCTGAGTATTCACTCACCAATTTCACCAAGTGCTTTACGTCAGAGACATGCAGCACTTCCGGCTTTCCTGCCACAGCCGGCAGCCATGACATACAGGAATACAGAGAGTTGGTAAAAAAAAACCCAACTCACTCACGTAATTTTATGAGGAAATTAACAGTAATTGACGTGGTTCTATTCTTGTCTTTATTATCACCCGTTGTTTGCCACAAAAAGCTGTATTGTTAAAATTCTTTCTAAATTTGGAAATATAACAGCAATGAAAAGTTTTGTGTAGGTTTTGAGAGTATAAAAAGACAGCATAACAGCAGGTTATAATGTCCATGACATTGACGTTAAGAGTCCAGGTTCGGGGCAGGGGTCAACCACCAATGCCACCGATGTCACCAGCTCAGTGACGTGTATGCCTACCCCGAGCACAGCAGTCCATCGCCGACGCATGGAGTCTATCAAATAGGCTGGAAGGCAAGTGGAATGGCTTCCCAAATTCTCTGTAAATCTGTGGCTAAATCAGGAACGTTATCCGGCGGAACACGGCGTAGATGTCGCTCTATTTCCTCCCACGCATGCTCTGTAGGGATCCGGTGAATCTGCAGGCCAAGGCAGTTTTGTTATATTGTGCTGTGGAAGAAAGCCCCATCAACCTATAGCCGCTTGTGGGCATGGAGTGGTAATCGTGGTCCAGGGCGGTGAAGAAACGGAATTGTTCTCTTCAGCCCACACCTGTCAAATTGCCCCGAGCAACATCTAAAGATTTTCTCCAACGTGCACTTATCCCACCCCCCAGTCATCACGGAACCATCCCAATTCCTCTCCAAGACACAGGCTTGAATACAAAGCTTCCCAAGACGTCTGTAGACACGTTGACCTCCTTCACTATGGAAAATGTTTAATTGTCTGTGAAAAGTCCTCCACCATAACCGAAATTGACAGGATTTCGGCACCACCTTTCACGGCTTTCACGATGACATTGCGTCAGGATAGGTCGTATGGCGGGACGAGTCATGTCCCATAATGAAGCAAGCGGTTCCTGACTGTGTTGGAGTTGATACGCCGAAGTCTTGGAATGGCCTGAACAGTGGTGCCTGCAGTCTGAGACCAGTGTCGGAGATGGGGCACCCGCATCTATCTGTCCTGTCTCGGCGTTGTGACACGTAGACGTCCTGCACGTGGGCGATCTGCAATTTCATTATTGTTCTGACAACGTCTCAACTGTGCTGAAATGGTGTTTCGCTGGCAGTGGAAATCTCGGCCATCTGACGTGAGATTTCCTCACCGTACCATCCCCTTAGCCTCATGACGTCATGATGTCGATGTCAAACAATTAAGCTTCCAAACTGTGAGCAGCTTCTGACAAATGTGTGCTCTCAGTGTATCGAGATGCACATGCACAAATGTGTTTGCACGTGCCAATGCCGGACCACCAACATCACGAAATGTAGCCCATGCATGCGTGTTCAATTGAATTCACTAATTTCTGTGTTTACATTTGTATATATGTACACTTGTTGTTCAAATATATATTATTTTGATTTCATCGGTGCACAGTATCGTTTCGTAGTTAGTATGTGGCAAGTATGCAAAAATGGAATCAGTGGAAAGTATTACTTTAATTTCTAATCAGTGTGGGCACACAGGATAACAAACTTTGCCTTACGAAATACAACGCACATAGGTTTGAACTGAGCATATATATATATATATATATATATATATATATATATACGGGTATATAAGTCAAATACGTGTAAGGAGTAATGTCTGTAGCGGTGTGCAGGTCGCTCTGACTGCCTGTAACATGGGCCCAGGAAACATGGAGAGGAGGCGCAGTGTCGGGGACCTCTCCAAGGAGTCACTAGACGTTCGCCGGTCTACTGGGCGTCTACACTGAATCTGTAGACGGTTGTCTGTCTATAAGTCTCGCCGGGTCTGAGGATGGTGCTTGGGAAACTGGGCTGAAACAATGGAGAAAGGATGACTCACTCTGTCTTGTATGGAATACTGTAAGGGACATTCTCGCGATCTCGCATTCTCGCTCTTTTGGTATTTTAAGCTTGATTCCAAAGGACGAGATCGCGAGAATGCGAGATCGCGAGAATGTCCCTTACAGTATTCCATAGTCTTGGCAATGAGTATTGTGATATTGCTAGCTGTGACTGTAATATGTACATTATAGACACTGCTGTCAAGCCCGTGTGTTGGGGCCACGTCAACCACAACACTGTTTTCAACCCGGATTGTTTCCGCCATAATTCCACACAAATGTGTGTGTGTGCGTGCGTGCGTGCTTGCGTGCTTGCGTGGAAGCTGGGGGAATGGGCTGTCTGTTCAAGGCAGGATGCGCCATCAGCTAGGTATTTAGTGGCGTTTGTGTTTGTCATGTCTGCGGTTGTGTTTGTCATGTCTGCGGTTGTGTTTGTCATGTCTGCGGTTGTGTTTGTCATGACTGTGGTGTTGGTTGTCAAGGCAGTGGTTGTGTTTGTCAAGTCAGTGGTTGTATTGTAATGACTGTGGTTGTGTCTGTCATGACTGTGGTTGTATTTGTCAATGCAGTGTCAGGGCAGTGGTTGTGTTTGTCAAGGCAGTTGTTGTATTTGTCAAGGCAGTGGTTGTGTTTGTCATGACCGTGGTTGTATTTGTCATGACTCTGGTTGTATTTGCCATGACTGTGGTGTTGGTTGTCAAGGCAATGGTTCTATTGTCATGACTGTGGTTGTGTTTGCCATGACTGTGGTTGTGTTTGTCAAGGCAGTGGTTGTGTTTGTCATGGCGGTGGGGACTGGAGATCAGTTGAGGTTGTTTAGTTGGGTGACCATGGGTTCTACATTTATATTCAGTAAATATAAATACTCAATACACATCTCACATATCATGTTCGGTTTGCCCTGTCGGGATGCCGATACCATAACAAGGTATACATGACTCGAGGACGTCATTGCTTCTGAGCCGAGTCTACGACAAATAGATGGGACGTATGTCCAAAGAAGGTGTGGCGTGGGCATTTTACGTCCGTTTCAGTTGTTATATTATTTAGGCAACAAATGCACTTAAAGTATTTGATTACATCCATCCCATTGTTGGCAGTGTTGGCATTCTTTCACCTGATTCACACTGTCTGGGTGATGCTGGGCTTCGAGACAGTTGTGTTAACTCACGTGATTCACACTGTCTGGGTGATGCTGGGCTTCAAGACAGTTGTGTTAACTCACCTGATTCACACTGTCTGGGTGATGCTGGGCTTCAAGACAGTTGTGTTAACTCACGTGATTCACACTGTCTGGGTGATGCTGGGCTTCAAGACAGTTGTGTTAACTCACCTGATTCACACTGTCTGGGTGATGCTGGGCTTCAAGACAGTTGAGTTAACTCACGTGATTCACACTTGTCTGGGTGATGCTGGGCTTCAAGACAGTTGAGTTAACTCACCTGATTCACACTGTCTGGGTGATGCTGGGCTTCCAGACACTTGTGTTAACTCACGTGATGTACACTTGTCTTGGTGATGCTGGGCTTTAGACAGTTGTGTTAACTCACCCGATTCACACTGTCTGGGTGATGCTGGGCTTCAAGACAGTTGAGTTAACTCACGTGATGTACACTTGTCTGGGTGATGCTTGGGCTTCAAGACACTGTCTTGAGCTTTAACTCACCTGGTGTCACACTTGTCTGGGTGATGCTGGGCTTCAAGACAGCTGTGTTAACTCACCTGGTTCACACTGTCTGGGTGATGCTGGGCTTCAAGACAGTTGAGTTAACTCACGTGATGTACACTTGTCTGGGTGATGCTGGGCTTCAAGACAGTTGAGTTAACTCACGTGATGTACACTTGTCTGGGTGATGCTGGGCTTCAAGACAGTTGAGTTAACTCACGTGATGTACACTTGTCTGGGTGATGCTGGGCTTCAAGACAGTTGAGTTAACTCACGTGATGTACACCTGTCTGGGTGATGCTGGGCTTCAAGACAGTTGAGTTAACTCACCTGATTCACACTGTCTGGGTGATGCTGGGCTTCAAGACAGTTGAGTTAACTCACCTGATTCACACTGTCTGGGTGATGCTGGGCTTCAAGACAGCCGAGTTTACTCACGTTATGTACACTTGTCTGGGTGATGCTGGGCTTCAAGACAGTTGAGTTAACTCACGTGATGTACACTTGTCTGGGTGATGCTGGGCTTCAAGACAGCTGTGTTAACTCACCTGGTTCACACTGTCTGGGTGATGCTGGGCTTCAAGACAGTTGAGTTAACTCACGTGATGTACACTTGTCTGGGTGATGCTGGGCTTCAAGACAGTTGAGTTAACTCACCTGATTCACACTGTCTGGGTGATGCTGGGCTTTAGGACAGTTGTGTTAACTCACCTGATTCACACTGTCTGGGTGATGCTGGGCTTCAAGACAGCCGAGTTTACTCACGTTATGTACACTTGTCTGGGTGATGCTGGGCTTCAAGACAGTTGAGTTAACTCACCTGATTCACACTGTCTGGGTGATGCTGGGCTTCAAGACAGCCGAGTTTACTCACGTTATGTACACTTGTCTGGGTGATGCTGGGCTTCAAGACAGTTGAGTTAACTCACGTGATGTACACTTGTCTTGGGTGATGCTGGGCTTCAAGACAGTTGAGTTAACTCACGTGATGTACACTTGTCTGGGTGATGCTGGGCTTCAAGACAGTTGAGTTAACTCACGTGATGTACACTTGTCTTGGTGATGCTGGGCTTCAAGACAGTTGAGTTAACTCACGTGATGTACACTTGTCTGGGTGATGCTGGGCTTCAAGACAGTTGAGTTAACTCACGTGATGTACACTTGTCTGGGTGATGCTGGGCTTTCAAGACAGTTGTGTTAACTCACCTGGTTCACACTGTCTGGGTGATGCTGGGCTTCAAGACAGCCGAGTTAACTCACGTGATGTACACTTGTCTGGGTGATGCTGGGCTTCAAGACAGTTGAGTTAACTCACGTGATGTACACTTGTCTGGGTGATGCTGGGCTTCAAGACAGCCGAGTTAACTCACGTGATGTACACTTGTCTGGGTGATGCTGGGCTTCAAGACAGCCGAGTTAACTCACGTGATGTACACTTGTCTGGGTGATGCTGGGCTTCAAGACAGTTGTGTTAACTCACCTGATTCACACTGTCTGGGTGATGCTGGGCTTCAAGACAGTTGAGTTAACTCACGTGATGTACACTTGTCTGGGTGATGCTGGGCTTTAAGACAGTTGTGTTAACTCACCTGATTCACACTGTCTGGGTGATGCTGGGCTTCAAGACAGCCGAGTTAACTCACGTGATGTACACTTGTCTGGGTGATGCTGGGCTTCAAGACAGCCGAGTTAACTCACGTGATGTACACTTGTCTGGGTGATGCTGGGCTTCAAGACAGTTGTGTTAACTCACCTGGTTCACACTGTCTGGGTGATGCTGGGCTACAAGACAGTTGTGTTAACTCACCTGATTCACACTGTCTGGGTGATGCTGGGCTTCAAGACAGCCGAGTTAACTCACGTGATGTACACTTGTCTGGGTGATGCTGGGCTTCAAGACAGTTGTGTTAACTCACCTGGTTCACACTGTCTGGGTGATGCTGGGCTACAAGACAGTTGTGTTAACTCACCTGATTCACACTGTCTGGGTGATGCTGGGCTTCAAGACAGTTGTGTTAACTCACCTGATTCACACTGTCTGGGTGATGCTGGGCTTCAAGACAGCCGAGTTTACTCACGTGATTCACACTTGTCTGGGTGATGCTGGGCTTCAAGACAGTTGTGTTAACTCACCTGATTCACACTGTCTGGGTGATGCTGGGCTTCAAGACAGTTGAGTTAACTCACGTGATGTACACTTGTCTGGGTGATGCTGGGCTTTAAGACAGTTGTGTTAACTCACCTGATTCACACTGTCTGGGTGATGCTGGGCTTCAAGACAGTTGAGTTAACTCACGTGATGTACACTCGTCTGGGTGATGCTGGGCTTCAAGACAGTTGAGTTAACTCACGTGGTGTACACCTGTCTGGGTGATGCTGGGCTTTAAGACAGTTGTGTTAACTCACCTGATTCACACTGTCTGGGTGATGCTGGGCTTCAAGACAGCCGAGTTTACTCACCTGATGTACACTTGTCTGGGTGATGCTGGGCTTCAAGACAGTTGAGTTAACTCACGTGATTCACACTTGTCTGGGTGATGCTGGGCTTCAAGACAGTTGTGTTAACTCACCTGATTCACACTGTCTGGGTGATGCTGGGCTTCAAGACAGTTGTGTTAACTCTCCTGGTTCACACTGTCTGGGTGATGCTGGGCTTCAAGACAGTTGTGTTAACTCACCTGGTTTACACTGTCTGGGTGATGCTGGGCTTCAAGACAGAACCCTGTAAACTTCCCATAAGTGGCGCCATCTTTTCCCTTGTCCTTGGCGTCGAGGTAGTAGCTGGTGTAGAATAAGACCGATGGTTCGGTTGTGGATACTTCCAGGACCCGCCCTGATGGAGGGTGCTCCATTCTGTAAACGAGAAGAAACAAATAAAACAGGATTCTTACCGACCGCTCTATTTTGTCCTATATTCCTTTCCATTCATACAGTACAGACAGTATTAAAACGACCTAGTTCCCAAAACAGATTGAAGATGTTGATTTATCCACTTATTTGTATCTTTAGATCCCCACAGGCCACTGCATAGGCGTGCAGGAATATCTTCTCCAGCTACGTGCCCCAGGTCACGCCAACCGTACAAAATGACGGTCTGAGGTACAGATACATGTCACGCCCACCGTACAAACTGACGGTCTAAGGTACAGACCCACGTCACGCCTACCGTACAAAATGACGGTTTTGGAACAGATATGCCACGCCCACCTTGCTACATGTTTCAGGTTCCCCGACTCCTCCAGGTTATAGCTGACAGTATATCCTGTTCCACCCGGAACTGACGTCATATGATCTCCCAGCCGTACAGGACTCCGCAGGTCGTAAGGGGTTTCATCAACATCTTTTAGCTCACCTGAAATGTAAACAGTAATAATCCCAACAGCACCTATCCTGATTATAGCCTTTATAATAATGTAGGGAAAGTCTCATTCGCTGTCTGATCTGCGTATTGAGGGGGCACAGGACTTGATGATACATCTAACCAGCTTGACTGTGCCAGGATCACCCCAAGCCTCATGGTTGCATTTAACTATATTATTCTGTAAAAGAAAATTGCAAATTAAATGTGGGCATGTATTGAGAGTACACAATACTGGGGCACAGTGACAATTTGCAAACATTCAACTCATAGGAATAATTGCTCGTCACGGCTTCCACAGCTGTCAACAAGGGAGGGAGGCATGCAATCTTGTTTTATGCCGCTGTATTGTAATTCAAACAACGCGCAAATAATGTGACCCACACAAAATCAACAAGGTCACCTTACCTGTAGGTATGAGAGTGTCGTCGAGGACGGCGTATGCATCAGAGTTAATTCTGACAACGTGGTCGTCAATGTGGCCGGCAGACTGACGAACAGAGAGATATTTTGTGTTAGATCAGCGATATATGCATGGATGGGCAGGGGGCGCATTATCTTTTGTTAAAGTATTATCTGTTACAAAGTGTTATCTATATATCGCTGACAGATAAGAACATTTCACATCCCAACACCTAACCACGTTGGTAAGTTTGTCCACTAGCTGCCACGTTTAAAACTCGAGAATAGTCTCGATCTAACTAATGGCCCATGTACACGCTCTATAAACAAGCCCAATAACACTTCCAATTGCATGCCTGATTCAGACATGCCCTATACACACCCCTGCACACATGCCCTGTAGACACACCCTATACTCATGCTCTTTATGCATGCCTTAAACACGTGTCCTCTGCAGACGCTGTACACATGCCCTGTAGCCACACCCTATACTCATGCTCTTTATGCATGCCTTAAACACGTGTCCTCTGCAGACGCTGTACACACGCCCTGTAGCCACACCCTATACTCATGCTCTTTATGCATGCCTTAAACACGTGTCCTCGGCAGACGCTGTACACATGCCCTGTAGCCACACCCTATACTCATGTTCTTTATGCATGCCTTAAACGCCTGTCCTCCGCAGACGCTGTACACATGCCCTCTACATACACACTGTCTGGATAGCCAGAACACACGCCCTATGCTCATACCCTATCCTCACCAATAAACACATACCCTGCAGTCACGCCCTTCACACATGTTCTATACTAGTGCACTATAAACACGCCCAGTATACGTGCCCTACACACGCCCTGTACATGCCCCACATACAGGCACACATTCAGGAGTTTGTACCGATACTGCCTGCTGCGCTGCTGCTGTCGAGGCCTCTTAGGGGGGCTTCTATATTACAGGGTAAAACAAAGCTGAAGCATCACCCGACCAGGTGTATTAAAGTCTATGGAGGTTATAATGAAAACCAAATGTCAGACCACTGTTTCATTGCCCTTGTATAAATGTATACCGTGTTCTAAATTAAGCTCACTTGAAATATTCAAAATATTCAACTGCTTGGATGAGGATATGTTTGATCGCTCACATGTCCGGCCATGTTGAAGTAGGCGTGGTTTGTCAGGTTGATGGGCGTGGCTTTCGTGGTGTTAGCCTCGTACTGAATGAACAGTTGATTGTCATCTGTCAGCTCGTACGTCACAGTTGTCGTCACCTCACCCGGGAAGCCCTCCTCGCCATCGTCGCTGACGTATCTCAGCTGAAGCTTCTTGCCGTCCACAACATTGGTGTTCCAGACGACTTGGTCAAAGCCTTTCACGCCGCCATGTAATAGATGCTCCCCGTGATTGGCTGTAAGGTTGTACGTTTCCCCGTCCAATGAGAATTTAGCTCCCTTAATACGGTTAGCATACCGTCCAATGATAGAGCCAAGGCAGAATATTGCGTTGCTTTCGTAACCTGCAATATGAACATATGATCGAGTCTTTACCTACTGTCTAACCACATGCAGTGTTATCTCTGTGACTGTATTAGCGCCTTCATAAAACAGTGAACGGTTTTCATTCCACGTCACACTAAATCTGATATTCGATGTTTTATGGATTAATCCCATTTAAGCTGATGTCACCCCGTCTGCGGTGAGGCGATATGCCAAATCACACAGATACAGCCTGTATGTCAGACATGGGTTAAACTGAAGGTGGTCGATTACGCCGGTGTGTGACCGAATCAAGGTAAGGTTGGTCCGGCAACATCACACTACCAACTACCATCTCGTCTCACAACCAACCTGTCATATCGTCGAAGCCGAGACTGATGTCGTCAACGTCGCCGTGTTTATCTGGCACAAGGATGTCAGTGATGGTGGCGCCGTAGTTCAAGACGCGGACAAGGACATTATTGCCATTCGTAAGGGTGTATCTGGCGGAGAAACAGAATTACAAAATTTGTGTTGACATGTAGTTTTAAAATCATGTCTTCTGGTCGTTTTAGCTTTACGAAAATATTTTGAAGCCGGGGGCACCTGGACTAACCCCCAAATGTCTGTGTCTGCCACTTGGTGCATGATTTCGTCTGGCAGCTTATATAACGTTTTCTCTGAACTTGTAAATATAATCAACTTTCTGGAACTATGAGAACTCGTATTTAGTTACTCAATCACTGTCCTCATTACATGACTGGATCACAGCCTGTAGGCCAAGGTCCCGAGATGACCTAGATGGCCTGTGTCTTGTTACAGGTCATGAGAACAGCAAGATAACCCAGCTCCTGACCAATCTCGTTACAGACCTGAGTGAGACACGTTTAGACGACCAGTACAATCAGAGTGAACTAGGGGCAACCTGACGATCAATTCAATCACAGGGAACTAGGGGCAACCAGACGACCAGCACAATCAGGGGAATTAGGGGCAACCAGACGACCAGTACAATCAGTGGGAACTAGGGGCAACCTGACGACCAGTACAATCACAGGGAACTAGGGGCAACCAGACGACCAGGGCAACCAGACGACCACACAATCAGGGGGAACTAGGGCAACCTAGACGACCAGTACAATCAGGGGAACTAGGGGCAACCTGACGACCAGTACAATCAGGGGAACTAGGGGCAACCAGACGACCAGTACAATCTAGTGGCAACCAGACGACCAGTACAATTAGGGGAACTAGGGGCAACCAGACGACCAGGGGAACTAGGGGGGCAACCAGACGACCAGTACAATCATCAGGGGAACCTGGGGCAACCAGACGACCAGCACAATCAATTGGGGAACTAGGGGCAACCTGACGACCAGTACAATCAGTAGGGGAACTAGGGGCAACCAGACGACCAGTACAATCAGTGGGGAACTAGGGCAACCAGACGACCAGTACAATCAGTGGGGAACTAGGGGCAACCAGACGACCAGTACAATCAGGGGGAACTAGGGGCAACCAGACGACCAGTACAATCAGGGGGAACTAGGGGCAACCAGACGACCAGTACAATCAGGGGGAACTAGGGGCAACCAGACGACCAGCACAATCAGGGGGAACTAGGGGCAACCAGACGACCAGTACAATCAGGGGGAACTAGGGCAACCTGACGACCAGTACAATCAGGGGAACTAGGGGCAACCAGACGACCAGCACAATCAGTGGGGAACTAGGGGCAACCAGACGACCAGTACAATCAGGGGGAACTAGGGGCAACCAGACGACCAGTACAATCAGTGGGGAACTAGGGGCAACCAGACGACCAGTACAATCAGGGGGAACTAGACGACCAGGGCAACCAGGGGACGACCAGACGCACAGTACAATCAGGGGAACTAGGGGCAACCAGACGACCAGTACAATCAGTGGGGAACTAGGGGCAACCAGCCTGGGGACGGCCAGACGACCAGCACAATCAGGGGAACTAGGGGCAACCAGACGACCAGTACAATCAGGGGAACTAGGGGCAACCAGACGACCAGTACAATCAGTGGGGAACTAGGGCAACCTGGACCAGACCAGACGACCAGTACAATCAGGGACCACTAGGGCAACCTGACGACCAGTACAATCAGGGGGAACTAGGGGCAAACCAGACGACCAGTACAATCAGGGGGAACTAGGGGCAACCTGACGACCAGTACAATCAGGGGAACTAGGGGCAACCAGACGACCAGCACAATCAGGGGAACTAGGGGCAACCAGACGACCAGCACAATCAGTGGGGACTAGGGGCAACCTGACGACCAGTACAACCAGGGGGAACTAGAGGCAACCAGACCATCAGTACAACAAGGGTAAAAAAACAAAACAAACACAAGCACGCTCGCACGCACGCGCACACACACATGCACGTCACACAGACGTACACCTACAAGGAGCCTCTGGTGTTTCATGAGAGTATCGCATCCTATGCTATGTCTTATCACTGTAAAGTTCACCTGTCAAACGCACGCCTTCACTGACGGCGAGGCTGCCCTGTGGTGCCAAGCTGTGAGGCTTTTCTAAACAAGAAATGGTCAGTATGGTGCCACAGCCGTGACAGAGTGGGTTTATCTACCTGCTGACATGTTCTCCGGTCTTCGTCACCCCGAACTCCTCCTCTGTGATAGAAGCCATTGTTTGTCCTCAGCCTGTTATCTACTGCAAGGCACTTAGTAATTACCTCCCTTGTCCATGTCACGCTACATTCACTGCAAGCTTTATTTGAATGTTGCTGTAGATTCCACATGTTGGTAGATCTTCCTGGGAGACAGATGACTCTCGATGTTCGGTACACACTGTCTTCACCGGTAGTCCCGATACAATCAATACAAACATGCGATGAATGTCGTCGTCGCTGTCGGTCACGCTCCAGACGTCTATATGGACATGCACGCACGCACGCACACAGACACGCACCACACACACAAACTAACACTAACGCACACACACACACACACACATACACACACTAACACACACATCAACGCAGGCTGACAGAGTATATTGTTTCTGCAGAAGTCATTACCTTCATTGTATATACTGTAACACCCTGTCAACCATTACCTGTACTTGTCCTTGTGTCCCAGTGTCACCGTGGTGTAAGGAGGACCTCCCAGCCTGTACCAGTGTCACCGTGGTGTAAGGAGGACCTCCCAGCCGCTATCTACTCAGTCCCCGTCCAATACCCTCCCAGCCTGTACAAGTGTCACCGTGGTGTAAGGAGGACCTCCCAGCCGCTATCTACTCAGTCCCCATCCCTCCCAGCCTGTACCAGTGTCACCGTGGTGTAAGGAGGACCTCCCAGCCGCTATCTACTCAGTCCCCATCCCTCCCAGCCTGTACCAGTGTCACCGTGGTGTAAGGAGGACCTCCCAGCCGCTATCTACTCAGTCCCCATCCAATACCCTCCCAACCTGTACAAGTGTCACCGTGGTGTAAGGAGGACCTCCCAGCCTGTACAAGTGTCACCGTTGTGTAAGGAGGACCTCCCAGCCGCTATCTACTCAGTCCCCGTCCAATACCCTCCCAGCCTGTACCAGTGTCACCGTGGTGTAAGGAGGACCTCCCAGCCTGTACAAGTGTCACCGTTGTGTAAGGAGGACCTCCCAGCCGCTATCTACTCAGTCCCCGTCCAATACCCTCCCAGCCTGTACCATAACACAGCTAGTGTGTTGTGTGCGTGTCTTCCCAGAAACGTTCTGAAACTGTATACACTTGTAATCTGTCGTCCTTGGTGTTTGTGCACTGGCGACAGTGTGTAGGAAGATACACCAGAGGCTCGAACTCAACTCAAGTCTGTGTGAGAAAGGGTCTCCGTTCACCTTTGAGCTTGTGGCGACGGAGCAGCTTATCGTACAGTATCGAATGAATGAATGAAAATAATATCGAATAATCGAGTCTGGACCAGACAATCCAGTGACTGATATCACGAGCATCAATCTACACAATTGATAAACGTCGACATACATTAGCCAAGTAAGCGAGCTGACCCTGCTAGTCATGAAACATCCGCTAGTCGCCTCTTACTGCAAGTATGAGTTGCAGACGACCTGTTCTAACCTGCTGATTTAACGACATTACGCTCTTACTTTATGTCTGACTGAACTATTACAGGTCTATGTTCCCTGGATTCAATATCCCGAGTTTTATTTTGGGTATTCCGCTCCAGTTAGAGCATTATATGCTCCTACTTACAACTCCACAGGTACATCACATTCATCCACCACTGTCCACAACCCACTGATGGGGTCAACACGACGTCTCTCACCCAGCCAACGTATAGATTACATAAGCCGGGGGAATGGTATATATTTATTCATAGATATGCACAGTAAACGTCAACCCCTTGATTAAGGTAGGATTCAAGGTCAAGGTAATGCAAGAAATGTGCATGCCATGTCTCTGCTGACTAACGGTGTCTACTCTACATCTGTAGACGGTGCATGTCCGTCTACTGTGCGTCTACACTGAATCTGTAGACGGTTGTCTGTCTGTAGGTCTCGCCGGGTCGGAGGATGGTGCTTGGGAAACTGGGCTGAAAGAACGAAACAACTGAATCATCCTAAGTGTTCGAAATAGAAGTAGAAATGTCAGAACAGACCAGAACAATCCAAAGAAAACTGACGACCTGCAAAGAAGCGAGACTTGTTCAGCGTGAAACTGGTTCCAGCATCAGTAACGATGTACGGGGCTAGCAGATGGTGTGATGTACACTTGTCTGGGTCATGCTGGGCTTCAGGACAGTTGAGTTAACTTACCTGACGTACACCTGTCTGGGTGATGCTGGGCTTCAAGACAGTTGAGTTAACTTACCTGATGTACACTTGTCTGGGTGATGCTGGGCTTCAAGACAGTTGAGTTAACTCACGTGATGTACACCTGTCTGGGTGATGCTGGGCTTCAAGACAGTTGAGTTAACTTACCTGACGTACACCTGTCTGGGTGATGCTGGGCTTCAAAACAGTTGTGTTAACTCACCTGATGTACACTTGTCTGGGTGATGCTGGGCTTTAAGACAGTTGAGTTAACTCACGTGATGTACACTTGTCTGGGTGATGCTGGGCTTCAAGACAGCCGAGTTAACTCACCTGATTCACACTGTCTGGGTGGTCCTGGGCTTCAAAACAGTTGAGTTAACTCACGTGATGTACACTTGTCTGGGTGATGCTGGGCTTCAAGACAGTTGTGTTAACTCACCTGGTTCACACTGTCTGGGTGATGCTGGGCTTCAAGACAGTTGAGTTAACTCACCTGATTTACACCTGTCTGGGTGGATGCAGTTGGGCTTAACTCACCTGATGTACACAGTTGAGTTAACTCACGTGATGTACACTTGTCTGGGTGATGCTGGGCTTCAAGACAGCCGAGTTAACTCACTTGTCTGGGTTCACACTTGTCTGGGTGATGCTGGGCTTCAAGACAGTTGAGTTAACTCACGTGATGTACACTTGTCTGGGTGATGCTGGGCTTCACACTGTCTGGGTGATGTCTGGGTGATGGGCTTCAAGACAGTTGAGTTAACTCACTGTCTGGATGCTACAGTTGAGTTAACTGTCTGTCTGGGTGATGCTGGGCTTCAAGACAGTTGAGTTAACTCACGTGATGTACACACTTGTCTGGGTGATGCTGGGCTTCAACTGACAGGTGATGTTAACAGTTGAGTTAACCTGGGCTTCAAGACGGTTGATTACTCACTTGTCTGGGTCATGCTGGGCTTGCTGAGTTAACTCACGGGATGTACACTTGTCTGGGTGATGCTGGGCTTCAAGACAGTTGAGTTAACTCACGTGATGTACACTTGTCTGGGTGATGCTGGGCTTCAAGACAGTTGAGTTAACTCACCTGATTCACACACGGGGTGATGCTGGGCTTCAAAACAGTTGTCTGGGGTGATGCTGGGCTTCAAGACAGTTGTGTTAACTCACGTGATTCACACTGTCTGGGTGATGCTGGGCTTCAAGACAGTTGAGTTAACTCACCTGATTCACACTGTCTGGGTGATGCTGGGCTTCAAGACAGTTGAGTTAACTCACGTGATTCACTGTCTGGGTGATGCTGGGCTTCAAGACAGTTGTGTTAACTCACCTGATTCACACTGTCTGGGTGATGCTGGGCTTCAAGACAGTTGAGTTAACTCACGTGATTCACACTGTCTGGGTGATGCTGGGCTTCCAGACAGTTGTGTTAACTCACCTGATTCACACTGTCTGGGTGATGCTGGGCTTCAAGACAGTTGAGTTAACTCACCTGATTCACACTGTCTGGGTGATGCTGGGCTTCCAGACAGTTGTGTTAACTCACCTGATTCACACTGTCTGGGTGATGCTGGGCTTCCAGACAGTTGTGTTAACTCACCTGATTCACACTGTCTGGGTAATGCTGGTTAGACAGTTGAGTTAACTCACCTGATTCACACTGTCTGGGTGATGCTGGGCTTCAAGACAGTTGAGTTAACTCACCTGATTCACACTGTCTGGGTGATGCTGGGCTTCAAGACAGTTGAGTTAACTCACCTGATTCACACTGTCTGGGTGATGCTGGGCTTCAAGACAGTTGAGTTAACTCACCTGATTCACACTGTCTGGGTGATGCTGGGCTTCCAGACAGTTGAGTTAACTAACTCACCTGATTCACACTGTCTGGGTGATGCTGGGCTTCCAGACAGTTGAGTTAACTCACCTGATTCACACTGTCTGGGTGATGCTGGGCTTCCAGACAGTTGAGTTAACTCACCTGATTCACACTGTCTTGGTGATGCTGGGCTTCCAGACAGTTGAGTTAACTCACCTGATTCACACTGTCTGGGTGATGCTGGGCTTCCAGACAGTTGAGTTAACTCACCTGATTCACACTGTCTGGGTGATGCTGGGCTTCAAGACAAAATGCTCCAAATTTCGCGTAGGTGACACCACCTTTGCCCTTTACATCGAGATAGTAGCTTGTGTAGAACATCACGGAGGGTTCTGTTGTTGACATTTCAAGTACACGTCCTGATGGCGGGTGCTCCACTCTGTTAAACGAGAAGCAGCAGGTCAAGCATAGTTGGACGCAGCTACGGCGTTACGACCTCAACCTCATCAACATCATCAACCTCATCAACATCAGCTGACACACCGACAAGTCCTCGGGTTCCTGAGGCTCGGCTGTTTGTTTCGACTGGTTCATACTCCTTACTTACAACCTCCATGGATACAGCTACAGTATCACTGACATACAACACTCATTCACTCATCACGGGGCAATATGTACAGGAATCTGTATACACAGGGGTGTGCAGTCCCAAACTCTTACCCTATGACATGACCTAGAAACAATCCTGTCTTCATTTTACCATTTACCATTCTATTACACAAGAAGCACGCGTCCATCAATATAAGAGGTTGTGTAGATGACCCAGTATCAGGGGAACAGACATGCCACGCCCACCTTGCTACATGTTTCAGGTTCCCCGACTCCTTCAGGTTATAGCTGACAGTATAACCTTTCCCGCCCGGAACTGACGTCATGTGATCTCCCAGCCGTATCGGGCTGCGCAGGTCGAGAGGAGTTCCAGTAACATCTCTTAGTTCACCTTCAAGAAGCGGAAACCTATCAGACAATTACACATGTTGATTCAAAACCAGCAACACCAACCTTGTAATACAAACCAATAATAGCGATATGAATCTGTGATCGTTTGTTAAACGTTTATCCTAAGTTTAATAAAATTCTGAGATTTATATGTTCACCTGACAAGGCAAGATTATTAGGATTCGCAATCTTAATTTCACTTTTGTTTACTTTATTGTTTAAAGTGAAATTCATCGGTACGTTTTCACTGCAAACAGACTATAGCTACCATACAGTAATCACATGTTGGCAACCACGCCCTGCAGATCAGCTGGGTTGTTGTTACTTCATCACTGTTACATCAACTGATCCCAGTAGTCACCTCACCTGTAGGTATGAAGGCGTCGTCAAGGACGGCGTATGCATCAGAGTTGATACTGACCACGTGGTCGTCAATGTGGCCTGCAGACTGACGGGAAAAGGGAGGTAAGTTTACTTTTGTTTTCCATCAGTGATTACCCCAAGGCAGGGAGGGTTGTGTGGTGGGTGTGGAATACCGTGGATACCGCATGGGTTGGTAGTTGTATCAATATCAATATTTAGTAAATGCCTGTTCACTTCTGTTATTCGCTATTATTTTATATATAAAAGAAATTGGTAAAATGAACTTGATTTCTTTTCCATTTTTGAATATCAGTGGCCTTTTACAATGACTACTCTTCGACTGTGGAGACTGGGTATTTAGTGACGGGACTGCAGCACGGGAAATCTTACATGTCCGGCCATGTTGAAGTAGGCGTGGTTTGTCAGGTTGATGGGCGTGGCTTTCGTGGTGTTAGCCTCGTACTGAATGAACAGTTGATTGTCATCTGTCAGCTCGTACGTCACAGTTGTCGTCACCTCACCCGGGAAACCCTCCTCGCCATCGTCGCTGACGTATCTCAGTTGAAGCTTCTTGCCGTCCACAACATTGGCATTCCAGACGACTTGGCTGAAGCCCTTTTCGCCGCCGTGTATGAAGTTGGACCCGTGATTGGCTGCCAGGTTATAAGTGTTACCATCCAATGAGAATTTAGCTCCTGCTATACGATTAGCCACTCGTCCAATGACAGTGCCGATGTAGGGTTTGTTGTCTTGGTAACCTGGTGATGGGAATAGGACATCCTATCATTATCTAGGAACAGAGAATACAATAAGAATAAGAAGAAGAGTGGATAACGTTGCACTTGTTGTTTTCTGGTGTTCATAGCGTGTTTGTATTCGTTATACTATGATTGAATTATTGGTTTTACAGAGCGATAGCAAGTCGTTTGGACAATACACAACATGCAAAACAGCCTGGAAATATTTAAGATTGGACCAGAAGAAAACGGTGAATGATATTATGAGTACTTCATCTGGTAAAATGGGATGCTAGCAACCAAGCCGCCAAATCTAACCACCAGACATATCTATGACAAGTACAGGTTGTTGGTAAGAAGTTGTAACTTGGAATCCACACTGGGCGACTTAGTAACACTTATCTCCAGTGACATCTTCTGTACTTTACAACAGCTGTGCTATTTATTTTAAAACTGCAACACCTGTTTTGGTCATGCGTCATATAAGCTTCGGTCCAGTGTTGACAGATTGAGAAGGTCTTATCCACCGCCATAGTGTGGGTGGACAGGGTGTTCCGGGGCACGTGTCACAACCCACCCGACCAAGGTCCTGATTCCTGGCATATTCCAATATGGAAATATCTATATGAATCGCAAGTGTGTAAAGCGCATGCGCACAACTCGTTATTACTTTCATTCAGTACAATATATGACATTACTATGGAAAACATTTCAGTTCCTACTAGACACGTGTATGTATTCTGAGGTGTATGTCCCTCTTTCGCACCAGATACCAGATTTGCTGATGTTACAGTGAGTGAGTGAGTGAGTACGGTTTACGCCGCTTTCAGCAATATTCCAGCAATATCACGGAGAGGGACACCAGAAATGGACTTCACACATTGTACCCATGGGGAATCGAACCCAGGTCTCGGCGTGACGAGCGGACGCTTTAACCACGAGGCTACCCCAGCGGCCCGCTGATCTTACAGACTTTATTGCGGACAACTTCCACGATCTGGACAAAGACATGGTTATCGTTGGATGCATAAAAAATGTATCCAATGCGGTTTAATCGTGAAACAGGATAGTGTACGTTCGTTGCTAATAGTGTTGGACCCGGATGGCGTTGAATTTCGCTCAAGACACCGTCTTCATCGACGTGTTTATTCTTCAACTTCCTGTGTTGTTAAAACATGTTAAATAAACTACAACACACATACGTATACATAAGGGATTGAAACGGAGGAAGTAAAACGGGGAACATGGTATTTTAGTAAGAAATAAAGTCGGTACATGTGCTATACGTGCACATACTAATGGATCAAATAAATAAGGCGGCTTTTATATGATATTGTACAGAATTAAACTCAATACATCAGACATCAGTTTTATAATTAAGTATAACACTCAACGTTTACATTTTTCATGGTCATGTAATACTATATATTCATAATAAAGCCGTAGCACAAAACAAGGTATCCAAGCTTTATGCTAGTGTTCATAATACGTTGTACCAATATTAGAAGTCATCATAAACACCTATAGTTAACTCCGACTTTGCATCGTTTGAAATCTTCCAAAAAGGATAGAAGTTTGTACATTTTAGCCATCAGTCAAGCAAACGTGCGTTCCATTAATGCCATTAAATGCTAAACACGAAGTTGAGCGCTCAAGATACTAACTTGTGCGCTCAAGATATTAACTTGTGCGCACAAGATACTAACTTGTGCGCTCAAGATATTAACTTGTGCGCTCAACATACTAACTTGTGCGCTCAAGATGTTAACTTGTGCGCTCAACATACTAATCAGGTCCCTTCATTCAACATATTTAATCTGTTGCGTAAAATCCGTATTCTGGCCACGGGGTATCTTGGTCGGAGTCTCCCGGGTTCTACATAAAGTAAAAGGGATTACCTTTCAGTGTTGAGTAGCAGGGGTTAGAGCTTCTTGATAGGGCAAATCGCGTACCTTAGTTGTGCTGAATGTAATGTGGGGTTATAATCCTCATATAGGGAACACTCAATATAGTCTTAACTATCCGAGAAATAGTCGTGTATAGAGATAGTCGTGTATAGAGATAGTCGTGTATAGAGATAGTCGTGTATAGAGATAGTCGTGTATAGAGATAGTCGTGTATAGAGATACTCGTGTATAGAGATAGTCGTGTATAGAGATAGTCGTGTATAGAGATACTCGTGTATAGAGATAGTCGTGTATAGAGATAGTCGTGTATAGAGATAGTCGTGCATAGAGATAGTCGTGTATAGAGATACTCGTGTATAGAGATACTCGTGTATAGGGATAGTATAGAGATACTCGTGTATAGAGATACTCGTGTATAGAGATACTCGTGTATAGAGATAGTCGTGTATAGAGATAGTCGTGTATAGAGATACTCGTGCATAGAGATACTCGTGTATAGGGATAGTATAGAGATACTCGTGTATAGAGATAGTCGTGTATAGAGATACTCGTGTATAGAGATACTCGTGTATAGGGATAGTATAGAGATACTCGTGTATAGAGATACTCGTGTATAGAGATAGTCGTGTATAGAGATAGTCGTGCATAGAGATAGTCGTGCATAGAGATAGTCGTGTATAGAGATACTCGTGTATAGAGATAGTCGTATATAGAGATAGTCGTGCATAGAGATAGTCGTGCATAGAGATAGTCGTGCATAGAGATAGTCGTGCATAGAGATAGTCGTGCATAGAGATAGTCGTGCATAGAGATAGTCGTGTATAGAGATAGTCGTGTATAGAGATACTCGTGTATAGAAATAGTCGTGTATAGAGATACTCGTGTATAGAGATAGTCGTGTATAGAGGTATAGAGATAGTCGTGTATAGAGATACTCGTGTATAGAGATAGTCGTGTATAGAGATAGTCGTGTATAGAGATAGTCGTGCATAAGTCGTGTATAGAGATAGTCGTGTATAGAGATAGTCGTGTATAGAGATAGTCGTGTATAGAGATACTCGTGTACTTTCATTATAGCAGTGGGAGCTGGCGTATGTTCCGTGTCGGCGGACGTCTTCAGGTCAAGGCCAGGGGCAGTATAGATTACGTTCGCAGCTGAGGTGAAAGGTCACATGTGCCGTCTTCACGGGCAAGGGGCCTTATAGACTAGTGTATTCGAAAATATTCACTCGAGGGAATAAAGTTGGATCACGGTTGGATGAATGTCTAACTGACAAACAAAGCAGGCATCCATTGACGTGTATCTCAGCTTTAGTGACAATACATATTAGAAAACTCCACCGAGTGCATGCAGCTACGCCAGTATTATGCAATACGTGTTCGATACAAATGTCTGATACTTGTGATATATTGTACCAGCAGGTGTAAATCTTCTGTGTGTACGAACAAGAAATGTGAGCCACAGCCGTGACAGAGTGGGTTTATCTACCTGCTGACATGTTCTCCGGTCTTCGTCACCCCAAACTCCTCCTCTGTGATAGAAGCCATTGCAAGGTGATCACTCTTTGCTATCTAATACACGCCGCTCAGTGATTGCCTCCCTTTGGGTATAAACCAGGCCAGTATGTGTCCAATGTATGTAAAACCACAAAAACAAGATCAAAACCGTAAAAAGAAGTAGTAATGTTTTGCTCAGATCACCTTGCAGAACGAGTCCTGGTGACACAGTGACCTATTTAGGTGGTTGACACGACATGCTCCGTTTCTGTTTCTACCGTTTCTGTTTCTATAAACAATAAATATATTAGGCAACGCCCACTAACAGAGTACTGTATTCTGATTGGCTGATACGAGAATGAGCAGGGTTTGTGAATTTCGTAGAGGGTAATAATGTCCGAGTAACTCTCCATTCCTAAAAAATAATGGAGCCGAGGCCCCGGAGGGGCCGAGGCATATTATTTTTTAAGGAATGGAGAGTTACGAGGATATTACCCTACTTAAATCACATTCGAAGTATTGGGAATATTTCTCTTATCAAAATTAAATGTCAAAATGACAAAATGAAGGTTTTATTTTGAAACTGGTACACATCGCTCCATTCCTGAAAAGTAATGGAGCGAACAGACAATGGAATGACGTCACAAATGTAATTTAAATTTCCTACTCGTGTCCTCGGGTTTTGTGGTAGTTATTGCATTTGCAATCGGAGAAGTTATTATTTTTACAGTACTATAAGAATTGACTTCAGTGTTGTTTTTGCTGTAATGCAGTTAATAACGTTAAAAACCGCTACACGTACGCGCAACTTTCACTCCAGTTTTCACGTTTATATTTATGCCAAAACAGTTTTGCCATGTACTCTGTGTATGTACTTCTATATTTGGCAGCATATATTCCGTATTCTGGCCACGGGGTATCTTGGTCGGAGTCTCCCGGGTTCTACATAAAGTAAAAGGGATTACCTTTCAGTGTTGAGTAGCAGGGGTTAGAGCTTCTTGATAGGGCAAATCGCGTACCTTAGTTGTGCTGAATGTAATGTGGGGTTATAATCCTCATATAGGGAACACTCAATATAGTCTTAACTATCCGAGAAATAGTCGTGTATAGAGATAGTCGTGTATAGAGATAGTCGTGTATAGAGATAGTCGTGTATAGAGATAGTCGTGTATAGAGATAGTCGTGTATAGAGATACTCGTGTATAGAGATAGTCGTGTATAGAGATACTCGTGTATAGAGATAGTCGTGTATAGAGATAGTCGTGTATAGAGATAGTCGTGCATAGAGATAGTCGTGTATAGAGATACTCGTGTATAGAGATACTCGTGTATAGGGATAGTATAGAGATACTCGTGTATAGAGATACTCGTGTATAGAGATACTCGTGTATAGAGATAGTCGTGTATAGAGATAGTCGTGCATAGAGATACTCGTGCATAGAGATACTCGTGTATAGGGATAGTATAGAGATACTCGTGTATAGAGATAGTCGTGTATAGAGATACTCGTGTATAGAGATACTCGTGTATAGGGATAGTATAGAGATACTCGTGTATAGAGATACTCGTGTATAGAGATAGTCGTGCATAGAGATAGTCGTGCATAGAGATACTCGTGCATAGAGATACTCGTGCATAGAGATAGTCGTGTATAGAGATACTCGTGTATAGAGATAGTCGTATATAGAGATAGTCGTGCATAGAGATAGTCGTGCATAGAGATAGTCGTGCATAGAGATAGTCGTGCATAGAGATAGTCGTGCATAGAGATACTCGCGCATAGAGATAGTCGTGCATAGAGATAGTCGTGTATAGAGATAGTCGTGTATAGAGATACTCGTGTATAGAAATAGTCGTGTATAGAGATACTCGTGTATAGAGATAGTCGTGTATAGAGGTATAGAGATAGTCGTGTATAGAGATACTCGTGTATAGAGATAGTCGTGTATAGAGATAGTCGTGTATAGAGATAGTCGTGCATAAGTCGTGTATAGAGATAGTCGTGTATAGAGATAGTCGTGTATAGAGATAGTCGTGTATAGAGATAGTCGTGTATAGAGATACTCGTGTACTTTCATTATAGCAGTGGGAGCTGGCGTATGTTCCGTGTCGGCGGACGTCTTCAGGTCAAGGCCAGGGGCAGTATAGATTACGTTCGCAGCTGAGGTGAAAGGTCACATGTGCCGTCTTCACGGGCAAGGGGCCTTATAGACTAGTGTATTCGAAAATATTCACTCGAGGGAATAAAGTTGGATCACGGTTGGATGAATGTCTAACTGACAAACAAAGCAGGCATCCATTGACGTGTATCTCAGCTTTAGTGACAATACATATTAGAAAACTCCACCGAGTGCATGCAGCTACGCCAGTATTATGCAATACGTGTTCGATACAAATGTCTGATACTTGTGATATATTGTACCAGCAGGTGTAAATCTTCTGTGTGTACGAACAAGAAATGTGAGCCACAGCCGTGACAGAGTGGGTTTATCTACCTGCTGACATGTTCTCCGGTCTTCGTCACCCCAAACTCCTCCTCTGTGATAGAAGCCATTGCAAGGTGATCACTCTTTGCTATCTAATACACGCCGCTCAGTGATTGCCTCCCTTTGGGTATAAACCAGGCCAGTATGTGTCCAATGTATGTAAAACCACAAAAACAAGATCAAAACCGTAAAAAGAAGTAGTAATGTTTTGCTCAGATCACCTTGCAGAACGAGTCCTGGTGACACAGTGACCTATTTAGGTGGTTGACACGACATGCTCCAGGTACTGGGGTACAAACCAGGCGCAATCCCCGCATGGTTAAATGGCCGTCCTGCATTGACACAACTACAAGGGTGCTATACAGAAATATATTTATTACAATTATGCGATGATACAACACTAACACTCCCAAATTCGCACATTCGTGATCACTTAATCTTATACCATCCCGAATATTAACAGGCTTAAAACATGTCTGATTGTGTAATGAGATACCAGTGTCATTTTACACCCAAAAGAGATACAGATCATCGCTCAATGAAAGTGTCGTTTATCCGTAACCATGGAAACAACGTCTCTGGATGTTTACGCTCCAGACAGATCTATGACGTCATGACTCCAAACCGATAGGTGGTGCTCTGGCGGTACAGGGCGCAGGATGGTGTTGGGAAACTTGGGCTAAACAAATGAGAAACACAGCGTCATCACTATCTCCTGCCAAACAAATCGAATAACAGTATTATGCAGACGTGTCCAGTAGACTAGTGTTGGGAATTGGTTTAAATCTCATAATTGATGATTGGTTCATTACAACCGATCAATCATCGAAAATAATTGGTAAGCGTCATTTATCAAATTTTCCTGGTTATGTTTGTTAATGCACAAAAAATATAGAAAAAACATGTAGTTCTCTCGGGGTTTTCGCAAATTGCACAAAATGCATTTGCAAATTTCACATCTTTAAAGGATGACTAGTGTGTTAGGAACATACATTTCCTGGAGTTGTTAAGATAAACTTAATCATGACTTGGAACGAGCTTGTAGTGCTTATGCAATGTCGAGACAAAATCGACCTTTTAAAAAAATACTGTTATTGCAAACAAGTGGTCCAAAATTGTTTGTGTTCGATTATGAGAAAACATGATCGATTGCTTGGTCGTTTCGTCATTGCGACCAATCTTCGATTATTTCAATTAATCGGACCACCACTAGTAGAGACCGGCAATGTTATCAGTCTGACATATGTATACAGCAGTAGACCAGCAGCGTCTCTGATCTCAGTGCCTCACAGTAACTCAGGTGTGGGTGAAGCGGTGTCCCCAGGGCACAGCAAAGCAGGGATATGTCCGACAAGTAGCCGCCAACCAAATTTCATCAAAACGGGGCATGCAGACAATCCAAGAAATCATATGATACAAACAACATAAAACAAAATGAAAATACTTTGCAATGTTGTCATATCGTTTGCTGTCGTTCATGTGGAATTTGCTTTGACGTACATGTTAGTTTGTCCTGGTTGACTACGATACGTTCACATAGCAGGTGAACAGGGTTTTGTGAAACGCAAAACAATCAGGCATTGGAATTATTTTGTGCGCCCTTTTCACATTGTGACCTTGTCTTCTTGGTGGGGTTGTGTGGTGCACATGGGGATTCATGCAAGCAAGGTGAGGATGTCATCTGTGGATGACTCCTTGCCCTTCTACAATATGAACATGTGGGGAGGTTTAGTACGGTCTCTGATAAGTGGATTGCCAGTCAAACATGCCGGATACCGAGTCAGACGAATAAATACCTTCGTCACAATTTGTTTCTTTCGACAATGAAGACAAAACCTAAAACAGCGTTTGTGGTGCTATGGAACAGTCCCTAAATGTGCCCGAGGCAAATCAACACCCACATTATAGTGGCCTAGTGTCTCTGCAATGCTAAGCATGTTTCACAGACCATGGAGTGGTTTTCGCACCAATGACAGACAAGGAAATCGCCTGTGACAGATTTTTGAAACGTGGCAGTCTAGCAGATATCCGTACATTCTATATACAGAGGGATACAAGTGGACAGGAGAAACTGAGACTGGACGAGCTCAGTGATGAACTCAACTATAGTAGACTCACGTTGTGGACGCTGTCGGGGTAGTGCTGGGCCTCGAGACAGAACGCCGAGTACCTCCCGTACATCGCCCCTCCCTTCCCGCGGTTGTTGAGCCAGTGTCCGGTGTAAAACATAAGGGCGGGTTCGGTGGTCCAACACTCGAAGTACCGGCCTGACCCCGGGTGTTCGAATCTGAGGAGAAAAACAACTTGAAGTGAGTGAGTGAATGTTGCAAGATTTACTCTATATTACACTGACCTGTCCAGAAACTGGAACCTGGACCCGGCAAACCAGTGACTGACAGCATGAGCAACACACCACACCATCCGGGCACGAACTCTCTGATCCGGATCCTCTATTAAACATGGGATGCAATGGCCTGACCTATCCCTGGTATCCACTATGATGACCACATAGGAAGTGGCGGAGACGTTGTAACGACGGTGATGTGGCGTGTAGGAACGTCTCTCCTTCCATCATTAGGGCGCT